AAAAAAAAAAAAAAAAAAAAAGTATTCAGAATAATTATCTTTCTTACTGTACTATCTCTGAAATCACCTCCCATAAACTGGCTTAGTTAGGGTCAATATCCAGTTACCTTTTAAAAATATTTTTCTTTTCTTGGTTAAAGCAATTTAATGAAAGAACATTTAAGATTTAAAAATAGTCACTTGAAGCTCATTAAGGACTGCCAAAAATCTAATTTTATTTTTGCATTCTTTATAAATAAAAAGCAAATGATAACCACTTTCCTCTTAGATCCAACATCAATGACCATATTCTCAGAACTACTGAAAGACTTCAAGTACATTAATTGTAAGGAATAGTTTATAATTGCTGAGTTTTACATTTTTGCTTAATATACAAAATTTCTGCTTAATATATTAAGCATTTTTTTGCCTAATATATTTGGTAAACTACAGTTAACTCTTGGAATGTCTAAACTACCTTTATTTTCATTAATAAGAAAGGGTAATTTAAAACTTCATGCACATGTAACATTTTATTATTTTATCACTATTTTTGAGATGGAGTTTTGTTGTCACCCAGGCTGGAGTGCAATGGCACAATCTTGGCTCACTGCAACCTTCGCCTTCCAGGTTCAAGCGATTCTCCTGCCTCAGCCTCCTAAGTAGCTGGGATTATAGGCATGCACCATCATGCCTGGTTAATTTTTTGTATTTTTAGTAGAGATGGGGTTTCACCATGTTGGCCAGGCTGGTTTTGAACTCCTGACCTCAAGTGATCCACCTGTCTCAGCCTCCCAAAGTGCTGGGATTACAGGCATGAGCCACCGTGCCTGGCCTATGTAACCTTTTAAGGACTTAAATTCCTTAATATAAGGTAAAAGTCTTAGGCAGGCTGCTACTGGGAATGCTTCTTTTCTTTTTCCTTTTTAAATTAGAGACAGGGTCTCACTATGTTGCCCATGTTGGTCTGGAACTCCTGGGCGAAAGCAATCTTCCTCTCTTGGCCTTTCAAAGTGTTGGGATTACAGGAATGTGCCATGGCGCCCAGTTTGAAAATTTTTTTAGTGTATGTGGTAATACACAGGAAATCACATTTAGTATATGACCAAGTTAATTAAGAAGTCAAAAAACACGTTAAATTAAAGAACAGAGAGCCTGGATATAGTGGCTTACGCCTGTAATCCCAGCACTTTGGGAGGATGAGGCCAGGAGTTTGAGACCAGCCTGGTCAACATGGCGAAAACAGTCTCTACTAAAAATGCAAAAATTAGCTGGGCTTGGTGGCGCATGCCTGTGATCCCAGCTCTCAGGAGCCTGAGGCTTGTGATTGTTTGAACCTGGGAGATGGAAGCTGCCGTAAGCCAAGACTGCCACTGCACTCTGGCCTAGGCAACAGATTGAGACTCTGACTTAAACAAAAAACAAAAAGAACAGATAGTTATCTGAAAAACTTCTGACAATTACTTACTTCTAGACAAACAAATGAGTAGGAAGAACCATCAGTATAAACATCTTAATTTTAGTCTTTTTTTTTTTGAGATGGAGTCTTGCTCTGTCACCCAGGCTGGATCTCAGCTAACTGCAATCTCTGCCTCCTAGGTTCAAGTGATTCTTCTGCCTCAGTCTCCCGAGTAGCTAGGGTTACAGGCATGCACAACCACGCCTGGCTAATTTTTGTATTTTTAGTACAGATGGGGTTTCACCACGTTGGTCTAGCTGGTCTTGAATTCATGACCTCAAGTGATCCGTCTGCCTCGACCTCCCAAAGTGCTGAGATTACAGGTGTGAGCCACTGAGCCTGGCCAATTTTAGTCTTTATCCTTAAAATTGCCTGAGTTCTTAGAACACAGAAAAAGCAAATTTGAATGCACTTGTAACAGCTTAATAATTTATATGTCCCGTTATTATTTTAGTGGAATGTTTTAAAGCCAAAGCATAATTCAATGCAAAGATAAATTTGAAAAAGCAAACAAACTTTTGAATAGTATGTTATGACCTAGACAAAACTGATTATCAACTATTAATAGTCATAATAATTAGCACATGCAACAGATTGAGAAATTAAATCCTGTGCTATATACTCTTAAGTATTTTGTCAGACATGAGATACCTTTAAATGTTTCTATCAATTGCATTCCTTTCCCCACATACTTTATTTAAAACAAGAAAACAATTCTCTTTCCTCCAGATTCTCATGTTTTTCAGTGCAAAATGTTGCAATCTCAGTAAAAATGGTTTATTACAATGTTATTTTAGAAAGGCTTAGTCCTCAAATTATTGAAAATGTACTTAAAAGATGTCTAAATCATGAGAATGATCAACTTCAATGGCTTCCTCTGCATCCAACTTGGCTTCTCCATGTCCTTCCTGTGACTCATCAAGAGATGCCAGGGCCTCGTTTGTGTCACTTGCAAAAGTTTCTCGTGACGTATCATCATCTTCTTGAAAATTTAGGCTTTTAATAGCTTGTTTCATCTTTTTCCCCAACACTTGTGTTCTCCTCTTCCTGGCAGCTTTTTTATTTTCATATTCCTTTTGATTTTCAATGTAGAAAATGTCCTATAATACAGGAACAACTTTAGTAAATAAGAACTACCATGTATTAAAAGTGTATTCCACGACTGGCCCATAAACAAATATTATTAGGCTCATTATGAAGATGGGAGTTCAAGATATTAAGTACTCACTGCAAATAAAGATTGAAACCAATTTAAACCCAGTCTAGTGTTAGGTTTAGGGCCATGCTTATTCTACCATAACGTATCATATCTACAGTTAAAACTTTCCTAAATGAAGGCTGGGCATGGTAGCTCATGCCTGTAATCCTAGCACTTTGGGAAGTCAAAGTGGGTGGTTCATTTGAGGTCAGGAGTAGAAGACCAGCCTGGCCAACATGGTGAAATCTCGTCTCTACTAAAAGTACAAAAATTAGCTAGGCGTGGTGGCATATGCCTGTGGGTCTCAGCTACTCAGGAGGATGAAGCAGAAGAACTGCTTGAATCTGGGAGGTGGAGGTGGAGGTTGCAGTGAGCCGAGATTGCGCCACTGAACTCCAACCTGGGCCACAGAGTGAGGTTCTGTCTCAAAAAACAAAACAAAACAACAACAACAAAAAAGCAAAAGTTTTGCAGCATTTTGGACTTTCAGATTAGGGATAGTCTACCTGTACTAAAACAGAGAAGGTTCAAAGGTTTAAAAAAGAAGCTGGTGTAGCAGGACATACTTCTGGGACCCTATTATCTCCTGGGCAGGAACTCCTAAAAGCTGCAGTGAAGCCAGGCCCTGTTATATTCTTAAAGAATACAAATCCCAATCCCTTCTTATATAAAAAGCATTACGGAAGATGGTGGGATACAGGACACCCTCTCCTAAAATTTATGCTAAATAGTTATAAGTAGCACACAGAATTGGCAGAGGAAGCCACAAAGATCTTTGAAATGAAGGGGTAAGGGAAAACTTCAAAATATGAGTGTTTTGATGAAGAGAAATAATAAAAGTATTTGGTAAAGAGATGAGGAAGAATGAGGATGGAAAAGGAGGGTACATACATGAGAAAAAAGTAGAGGAAAAACAAAGGTGAATTCAGAAGATAATGAGGCTTGCTATCACTTACCAAGTGAGTATTTTTATATAACGGCATTTTGCTAAGGACTTTACATACAAATTAACTCATTTAATCCTCACAAAAACCTTATGAGATAGTCATGCTATCCTTGTTTTCAGATGTGGAAAATTAGGCAAAAAAAGACAGGTAACATGTAAAGGTATAAAGTCTAAACTAATATATGATTTCTCCAACATTCTTCTTTTTATTTTTAAAAGTTTTTGATAGAGATGGGACCTTGCTCTGTCACTCAAGGTGCAGTGCAGTGGTATCATTATACCTCACTGCAGCCTTGAATTCCTGGACTAATCCTGAGCAATTCTCCCGCCTCAGCATCACAAGTAGCTGGTGATTTCTCTTCCTTTTTTTTTTTGAGACGAAGTCTCACTCTGTCGCCCAGACTGGAGTGCAATGGCGAGATCTTGGCTCACTGCAATCTCTGCCTCCCGGGTTCAAGTGATTCTCCTGTCCCAGCCTCCAGAGTAGTTAAGATTACAGGTTTGTGCTACAATGGCCAGCTAATTTTTGTATTTTTAGTAGAGACAGGGTTTCACCATATTGGTCAGGTTGTTCTCAAACTCCTGACATCATGATCTGCCCGCCTCAGCATCCAAAAGTACTGGGATTACAGGTGTGAGCCACCGTGCCTGGCCCTCCTCCATTTTTTTTTTTCCTTTTCTATTTTTTATTCCTTTTTGAGACAGAACCTGGCTTTGTCACCTAGGCTGGAGAGCAGTGGTCTGAGCTCAGCTCACTGTAATCTCTGGGTTCAAGCAATTTTCATGCCTCAGCCTCCTGAGTAGCTGGGACTACAGGTGTGAGCTACCATACCCAGCTAATTTTTGTATTTTTAGTAGAGATGGGTTTTTTTCCGTGTTGCCCAGGTTGGTCTCAAACTCCTGGCCTCAAGTGATCCACCTGCCTCAGCTTCCCAAAGTGCCGGAATTACCAGCATGAGCCACTACACCCAGGCCAATATTCTTAAAATCTATTATACTGCCTTCACAAAAGTGATGATTTGCATTTTTTTCTAAGAGTTCATTTACTCTTAACTCGAAGAATATGAAGAAGCCATTAAGTAGAAGGATTTTTATTTTATATGGAAGCACATCCAAGCATCTTGCTAAGAATTCTAGTTGTTTAAGGCTTGGTAACACTGGGTAAATTTTATGAAGCTACCCTTTTCTCTCCAGATATGGCAAGCCTTATTAAAAACAAAACAAACTTTGGCTGGGTGCTGTAACTCATGCTTGTAATCCCAGCAGTTTGGGAGGCCACGGTGGGTGGATTGCTTGAGGTTAGGAGTTTGAGACCAGCCTGGCCAATATGGTGAAACCCTGTTTCTACTAAAAAAAAAAAAAAAAAAAAAAATTAGCTGGGTATGGTGGCGGGCACCTGTAATCCCAGCTTCCCAGCTACTTGGGAGACAGGCAGAAGAATCGCTTGAACCTAGGATGAGCTGAGGTCTTGCTACTGGACTCTAGCCTGGGCAAAAGAGCTAGGCTTTGTCTCAAAAAATGAAAAATAAATAAAATAAACTTCATTCCCATGAGTTATGAATAGTAGAAAGTAGTAAATGGTCCCCAAAATGTTGTTGCAACAACAACAACAAAATGTTGTTGCAACATGTTGTTAATATCTTTATCACAAATGCAGAGAGCAAATTTGAGGGAAAATCTTCCCCCCACCCATCTATACCTATATATACTTAACTCTCCAAGTTAAGGGTCTGACTCTATAGTGTTTAGCTGAGTTTTATTTTTTTTCTTTGAACAAAGCAAATAAAGTTTTAACTAATGCTTTTTTCCTTCAGAAAACTTTGTGTTTTCTAAAACAAAACTTAACTGTGAGGTCATGTACCCAAATGGAATTTTAAAACAGGAAAACAAACCCACTCAGTCAAGTTCTGGCTTCTAAGTTCTACATATGGTGACTGTTAGCAACACAGCAATTGAAAGAATAATTACAACATTGTCATTTGGGTGGCATCTGAAATAAATTACCTATAATAAAATTTTATTCGTCAGGCACAGTGGCTCATGTTTGTAATCCTAGGACTTTAGAAGCCCCAGACAGTAGGATTGCTTAAGGCCAGGAGTTTGAGACAAGATTGGGCAACATAGGAAGATCCTGTCTCTACAAAATATTAAAAAAAGAAGTCGAGCATAATGGTATGTGCCTGTAGTTCCAGCTACTTGGGAGGCTGAGGCAAGAGGGTCACTTGAGCCCAGGAGTTTGAGGCTACAGTGAACTATGATAGTGCCATTGAACTCCTGCCTGAGTAACAGCAGGAGACCCTATCTCTTCAAAACAAAACAAAACTGCCAGGTACAGTGGCTCACACCTGTAATCCCAGCGCTCTGAGAGGCCAAGGCAGGAACATCAGTTGAAAACCAGAGTTTGCCTGAGCAACATAGTGAGACCTGGGTGACAGAGTGAAACCATCTCTTTTTAAAAATAACTTTTTGGCCAGTCGAGGTGGCTCACACCTATAATCCCGGCACTTTGGGAGGCCGAGGAGGTTGGATCACCTGAGGTTAGGAGTTTGGGACCAGCATGGCCAACATGGTGAAACAAAAAATATTAAAACTACAAAAATACAAAAATTAGCTGGCTGTGGTGATGTGCCTGTAATCTCAGCTACTCAAGAGCTGAGGTGGGAGAACTGCTTGAACCTGAGAAGCACAGGATGCAGTGAGCCAAGATTGCGCCATTGCACTCCTGCCTGGGCGACAGAGCAAAAAAAAAAAAAAAAAAAAAAAAGTCTGTGTAAGTCAACATTTCCCTACTATTAGATATTCTAAATGTTTCTATTTTTTGTTATTATAATGCAAAGTTTCTGGTAGTTTAACATGAAAACCTCTAGCATTAAAATCATTTTACCCCAATGAGCTGGAATAACTGAATTACAAAGACGCATTAGAGTGAAAATAACCCCAACCGCGGGTTTGGAGTCAGAGTGTTCTGTGTGATCCCAGGCATCTAATTTTGACTATTCTTCATTTGCATAACAAAGTGACATTCATGGTGATACAATGTGGTGAAGATTAAGTGACATAATATGAATCTTTAGTCCTGTGGGAGGCAGTCAGTAAATGTTACATTATTTCTTCTCTCCTACCTGTGAATACTGTTTGTTTAAGGTTTAGTTACTTAGAAGGTATCTTTTAAGTACATACTTTTTCAAGATTTGAGGGAGGGGACAGAACATTAGAGTATAATCTTTGCTACCACTCAACAGTTGTGTTCCTAAGGAAACTTACATTGTTACAAATCATATTATTGAAACGGTTGTTACAATGAGATGAAATAAGTAGTTACTAGAGATTTTAGATGTGCAGTAACAATAACATTTCCTATTGGAATGCCAATACAGCAGACTCTTAAAATGACTGTTGAGTGAACAGCCAGAAAGCAAGGAAAAAGAAACAACACTGAGCAGATGCAAAATAGGATTACCTGGACCAGCTCAAGGTAAGTGGCTTTTATTTATCTGTCATCATTAGCGTTACAGTCAGTGTGGCTAAAAGACACATTCCTATTACCTTGATCACCATTGTTATCATAAAGAAAACGCAAAACAAACAAACAACAAAAAAAAAACCCACACAGCTACTCAAACACAGTGGCTGTGTTAGATGTGCGCCACCTCTTTCCTATGCAAGAGGTTAGTTCTCAGTCTTTAGTATTTGCATAAATGCTAAGTGCAAATCATGTTCTCTGATTAACAAATTAAAAGATACATTTTAAGTTTTGAAAAACCCATACTGTAGAAGAATGATAAAAGACATTCCCAGTAACACAAAAATGATTTAAAATACTAAAGAGTCTACACTTTGCAGTTTATAATACTGGAGACGGAATAATGAATGAAACAAAGCCACGAGGAGATAATCACCAGAATGTAATAAAGTAACCCAACATTCTTCTTCTTCTTTTTAAAAAGACATAGTCTCGCTCTGTTGCCGAGGCTGGAGTGCAGTGGCATGATCTTGGCTCACTGCAACCTCTGCCTCCCAGGTTCAAGTGATTTTCCTGCATCAGCCTCCTGAAGTAGCAGGGATTATAGGCGCCTGCCACCAGGCCTGGCTAATTTTTGTATTTTAAGGAGATTCAGGGTTTCACCATGTTGGCCAAGCTAGTCTTGAACTCCTCAACTTATGTGATCTGCTCACTTTGACCTCCCAAAGTGCTAGAATTACAGACATGAGCCATTGCGCCTGACTTAACCATCTTTAACTCTTCAAAATGTCTAAATCATGAAGGAAAGTGTGGGGTTAAAAAGAACAAAGGAGCCGGGCGCGGTGGCTCATGCCTATAATCCCAGCACTTTGGGAGGCTGAGGCGGGTGGATCACGAGGTCAAGAGATCGAGACCATCCTGGTCAACATGGTGAAACCCCGTCCCTACTAAAAATACAAAACATTAGCTGGGCATGGTGGCACGTGCCTGTAATCCCAGCTACCTCAGGAGGCTGAGGCAGGAGAATTGCCTGAACCCAGGAGGCGGAGGTTGCGGTGAGCCGAGATCGTGCCATTGCACTCCAGCCTGGGTAACAAGAGCAAAACTCCGTCTCAAAAAAAAAAAGAACAAAGGACGGCCAGGTGAGGTGGCTAACATCTGTAATCCCAGCACTTTGGGAGGCCAAGGTGGAAGGACCGCTTGAACCCAGGAGTTGGAGAACAGCTTGGCCAACATGGTGAAACTCTGCCCCTACAAAAAATACAAAAATTAGCTGGCCATAGTGGAGCATGCCTTTGGTCCCAGCTATATGGGGGGCTGAGGTAGGAGGGTTATCTAATACCAGGGAGGTCAAGACTGCAGTGAGCCGTGATGATGCACTCCAGCTCGGGCAACAGAGTAAGACTGTTTCCAAAAATGAAAAAAATAATAATAAAAATAATTTAAAAAAATAATAAAAGAGGTGATATAACAAATGGAATATGGAAACCTATCCTGCTTAGGAGGAAGGTATATAAAATATATTCTTGGCCAGGCACAGTGGCTCACTCCTATAATCCCAGGACTTTGGGAGGCTAAGGTGGGTGGATCATGAGGTTAGGAGTTCAAGACCAGCCTGGCCAACATGGTGAAACCCTGTCTCTACTAAAAATACAAAAATCAGCCAACCATGGTGGCAGGCACCTTTAATTCCAGCTAGTTGGGAGGCTGAGGCAGAGAATTACTTGAACCCAGGAGGCAGAGGTTGCAGTGAGCTGAGATCGCACCACTGTACTCCAGCCTGGATGACAGAGTGACACTCCGCCTCAAAATAAATAAATAAATACACAAATAAATAAAAGGCACAAATGTTACTTAGAATGAGACAATAACAAAATCAGTCCACTGAAGGCAGAGCACGTAATGGATATTCATAGAAAATGAAGCTAGAGGCTGGGTAGAAGTCAAATTATGACCGCACTTAAGTAGTGAGGACATTATTATCATTACCTTAATTTGTTCTTCGCTGATACTAGGAGTGTTTTTCAAGAGATTCAGAAAAACTCCACCTGGTGTTCTTCTTCGACTACCATTCTACAAAAAGAAACAGAAAAGTTAAACTGTATATACTATTCTCATAAATGGTCAAGGCATCTTTTAACAGAGACACAACAAAGGGGATTGAAGGAATACAAGATCTGAAGTCCAGTGCTGATTCTGACCCTCATTTATAAAATGAAGGTCAAAGGTAATCTTTGGTCTTTTTTAACTCTAAAATTCTGTGATTTAAAAAATCTATATGGTAACAACAAAAAAAGGCCACTTAGCTCAAATGACCTAACAAATGACTGGATTTTCTGTTTTTATCTGCCACCTGGCTAATTCAGTGAATACTTTTTTTTTTAAGATGGACTCTCGCTCTGTCGCCCAGGCTGGAGTGCAGTGGTGCGATCTCAGCTCACTGCAACCTCTGTCTCTAGGTTCAAGCAATTCTTCTGCCTCAGCCTCCCAGCAGCTAGGACTACAGGTGTCACCACGCATGGCTAATTTTTTTTGTATTTTTAGTAGAGATGGGGTTTCACTGTGTTGGCCAGGTTGGTCTCAAAATCCTGACACCAGCCTCCCGGCATTTTTTTTTTTGAAATGGAGTTTCACTTTTTTGCCCAGGCTGGAGTGAAGTGGCACAATCTTGGCTCACTGCAACCTCTGCCCCCCGGGTTCAAGCAATTCTTCCTTAGCCTCCTGAGTACCTGGGAATATATGCGCTCACCACACGCCCAGCTAATTTTTGTGCCTGTAATCCCAGCTACTTGGGAGGAAGAGGCACGAGAATCAACTGAACCCAGGAGGCAGAGGTTGCAGTGAGCTAAGATTAAGCCATTTTTATGCTGCGTCTCTATTTTTAGTAGAGATGGGGTTTCACCATGTTGGCCAGCCTGGTCTCAAACTCCTGACCTCAGGTTATCTGCCCACCTCAGCCTCCCAAAGGGCTAGGATTACAGGTGTGAGCCACTGAGCCCAGCATGAATATTCTATTAGATGTTAAAATATATCATAAAGTCTCAATAATTGAAACAGTGTGGTATCAAAATAAAACTAGAATGATCAGTGAGGCAAAATAGAAAACCCAGGAAAAAAAAGGCCAAATATATATGGGTATTTAGTTTATGATATAGATACTATTTGAAATTGGAGAAGATAAATGTATTATTCAAGAATTGGTGTTTGAGGCCGGGTGAGGTGGCTCATGCCTATAATCCCAGCACTTTGGAGGCTGAGGCAGACGGATCACCTGAGGTCAGGAGTTCGAGACCAGCCTGGTCAACATGGTGAAACACTGTATCAAAAATACAAAAATCAGCCAGGTGTGGTAGCACACGGCCATAATCCCAGCTACTTTGGAGGCTAAGGCAGGAGAATTGCTTGAACCTGACCCAGGAGGCGGAGGTTGCAGTGAGCTGATATTGCGCCACTGCACTCCAGCCTACGTGACAAGAGCAAACCTCCATCACACACAAACACACACACACACACACACACACACACACACACACGGAATTGGTGGTTGAGCTACTGGGTAGCCACCATGGAAAATATTAGGTTGGATTTATACCTCATGTCTTATACCAAGATATATTCCAAAGGCATCAAAGATTTAAATATATATAATAAATCAGATACACACACACACACACACACAGAGTAGCTTCTCACCAGTCATGGTAGTTTTGTTTTATAAAGTTGCTGCGAACATTAAAACATTCCATCTGGAAAATACAGGGTTATGTTCCTGAAAGCTTCTGATAAACATTTTTGTCAACAGATCAGTATAAACCTTGTATGTATCTTGCTTTAAAGACATCTTATTGTTATTCATTAACATTGAATTCATGGCCAACGGCCTTTAACTCATGCCTAAATGAAGCTTATCTAACACATATTTTCTCTCTAAGGCATGTCACAGTCTTCTTGCTCTTAGAAACACTAATCAGCGCTATAGCACTACCCTTGGAGGGGCCATTTTAAACAGTAAAATTCTCAGGGAGCAGAAAAAGCACAAAATGTGAAAAAGATGGCACTGAACAGACCTTGAAAAGGACACCTGTTTATAGTAAGGAAGCTGAAACAAGGCAGTGTTGTCTTGTTTGACCTCAGCTAAGCAGATGCATGTCAGACAACTCACTGCAGAAAAAAGTAGCAAAACATCCAGTTCTAAGAAAAAATAGGGCCAGGTGCGGTGGCTCACGCCTGTAATCCCAGCACTTTGGGAGGCCGAGGTGGGTGGACCACCCAAGGTTGGGAGTTTGAGACCACCCTGGCCAACATGTAGAAACTCTGTCTCTACTAAAAATACAAAATTAGCAGGGCATGGTGGCACATGCTTGTAATCCCGGCTACTTGAGACGCTGAGGCAGAAGAATTACTAGAACCCGGGAGGTGGAGGTTGCGGTGAGCCAAGATTGCACCATTACACTCCAGCCTGGGCAACAAGAATGAAATTTGTTTCCAAAAAAAAAAAAAAGAAAAGAAAAAATAGGTGGGGTACAGTGGCTCACACCTATAATCTCAGAGGCATATGGATTCCTTGAGCACCCAGGAGTTTGAGACCAGCCTGGGCAACATGGTGAAACCCTGTTTCTACAAAAATTACAAAAATTAGCTGCGCATGATGGCTCAAGCCTATAGTCCCAGCTACTTGGAAGGCTGAGGTGCAAGGACTGCTTGAGCTGGGGAGGTCAGGGCTGCAATGACCTGTGATTGTGTCATTGCATTCCAACTGGGATGACAGAGACCCTGTTATCAAAAAGAAAAAAAAAAGAAAGAAAAAACCACCCATAATACCATTATCCATAGTTAATTACTGTAACATTTTCACATATATAATCTTTTTACTTTATTTTGACAGAGTCTCACTCTGTCACCCCGGCTAAAGTGCAGTGGTGTGATCATGCCTCACTGCAGCTCGACTTCCTGGGCTCAAGGGATCCTCCCACCTTCTCAGCCTCCCAAGTAGCTGGGACTACAAGCATGTGCCACAACATCCAGCTAATTTTTGTATTTTTTTTTTGGTAGAGATTAGGTTTCACCACGTTACCCGGGCTGGTCTCAGGATTATACATGCGAGCCACCACACCTAGCTATCTTTTTACTTTTTTATATACCACATATATTTGTAACCCCAACCCCAAATGGGATTCTGATGTGTAAATTGGTTTGTATTTTTATTTGTTTATTTTTGTGACGGAGTTTCACTCTTGTTGCCCAGGCTGGACTGCAGTGGTGCAATCTCTACTCATGGCAATCTCCACCTCCCTGGTTCAAGTGATTCTCTAGCCTCAGCCTCCCAAGCAGCTGGGATTACAGGCACACACCACCACACCTGGCTAATTTTTGTATTTTTAGTAGAGATGGGTTTTACCATGTTGGTCAGGCTGCTCTCAAACTCCTGACCTCTGGTGATATGCCTGACTCAGCCTCCCAAAGTGATGAGGCGTGAGTCACTGGGCTCGGTTTGTAATCTATGTCTTTTCATTAAACAATCTAGACTTTTGAGACTTTGGAGCTAATGTGAATTTTTGGACATTGCTCTTTAAATTGGCTAAAAACCTTGGAATCATCCTTGACTCTTCCTTTTCTTACATCCTCCATCTAATTCACTAGGAAATTCTGTTGGCTCTATCTTCCACATATACCCAGAATCTGACCACTTTTCCTTCACCCCATTGCTACCATGCTGGTCAGACCCACCTGGAATGGCTTTTCCTGCTTCTACTCTTACCCTCAATTCAGTCTATTCTCAAAACAGCAGCCGAAATGAAATATATTTCTCATCTATCCAAAACCCTCTAGGGGCCATTTCATTTAAAATAAAAGGCAAATTCCTTTAGGTTCCTACTAGACCTGGCCCAATTACCTCTCTGACTTTACATCCTATTCAACTCTCTCATGCACTCTGCTCCTACCACATTGGCCCCTTGTTCAGACAGGAACTAGGCAGAGATCAGGGTGGAGGGAGCAGTCTTGCCAAGCACAGGGTAAAAGCCTGTCTTTAAAATTTTGTCCATTATGGATTTTTTGCATTAATTTTGATTTTTGAAACTGGTACATTCAAATAATATTCATTTTGATTATTGAGTTTTTTTTTTTTTTTTTTTTTTTTTTTTTTTTTTTTTTTTTTTTTTTTTTTTTTTTTTTTTTTTTTTTTTTTTTTTTTTTTTTTTTTAAGGTGGGGTTTCACCATGATGGCCAGGCTGGTCTTGAACTCCTGACCTCAGGTGATCCACCCACCTCAGCCTCCCAAAGTGCTAGGATAGGATTACAGGCGTGAGCCACCGCGCCTGGCTGATTATTGAGTTTTTAAGGCAATCTCAAATTTCGCACCTACAGCAAGTAAATTGCTTACTTCACCCTAGTTCTGGCCTTCCGGGCATCCTTCACTTCTACAATGGCTGTTACTTCTACTTGGTCTATTCTTCCTGCAGTAGTCATTGCTTCACCTCAAGACTTCGTTCAAATGGCACCTTCTTAATAGTCTATCCAGACCACATTAGTTTAATTGCAACGTCCTCCTTTCCGTTACTCCCCATAGCTCCATTTGATTTCTTTCCTTTCCCACAGAATATATCACTGTTTTTTTTTTTTTTTTTTGAGACAGGGTCTCGCGCTGTCACCCAAGCTGGAGTGCAGTGGCATGATTTTGGCTCACTACAGCCTTGACATGTCAGGTTCAAGTGATCCTCCCACCTCAGCCTCCTGAGTAGTTGGGAATAAATGCATGTGCCACCAAGCCTGGCCTTTATTTTTTTTTTTTGGCAGAAACAGGATTTCACCATGTTACCCAGGCTTGTCTCAAACTCCTGGGCTCAAGCAATCTACCCACCTCGGCCTCCCAAAGTGCTGGGATTACAGGTGTGCCTGGTCAATGTATCACTTTTTAACACACTTGAAGTTATATTTATTGTTTATAGACTGTCTTCCTCCCCCCCAAGCACAACATAAGCTCCCCTCTCTAGAACAGTGCCTGGCATGGAGAGAGCACTCAGTAATTATTCAGGGAAAGAACTCATCCAAAGAAAGCAAATTTGGGGGCCGAACGTAGTACCTCACACCTGTAATCCCAGCACTTTGGGAGGCCAAGGTGGGCAGATTGCTTGAGCTCACAAGTTCAAAACCAGCCTGGGCAACATGGTGAAACCCCATCTCTATTAAAAACACAAAAAATTAGCCAAGCGTGATGGCATGCCCCTGCAGTCCCACCCACTCAGAAGGCTGAGGTGGCGGATGGCTTGAGCCCAGGAGGTGGAGGGTACAGTAAGCTGAGATCGCCCCACTGCACTCCAGCCTGGGCAACAGGGCCCGACTGTCTCAAAAAACAAAATAAAGTAAGAAAGTTAATTTGAACCTGCACCTTCCCAATATTTAGTAAATCTGCATTAGCTCACTGGAATATAAAGATTTATTACAGTACTAAAATATTGATGAAATCTCTAATTTTGTGGTCAACTAAATGAAAATCAAAGTACTTTAACAATGACACAAACAGGATAGCAGTGCATTCATGATTATTATTTGTTTTGTTGCTAACCTCTGTTTTGACTTCTGTAATTTATGTTCACAGGCTATTTCCTCAGCCAATGCTATCAATCCTAACTGGGTTTTTTTCTTCCCATGTCTAAAGCACAATATTGATCTACTCCCTTGTGATGTTATACTATTCAGACTTATCAGTAACAAAAACCAAGGAAGTCATTCAAACCTTCATCCTCACCCTGTGGTGAAAGCTGAATTAAATGAGACATGCCAAACCCTTCTATAACTGCCAGTGCTCATGATCTGGCCTAACCAGAGGAGCTATTTCTGCCATTCTGAAACAGTAAAGTGCTTCTCAAACTTTCCTCCCATTATTGCTCTCCCACCCCAGAACCCCCCACCCCCTTTTTTCTTTTGAGACGGAGTTTCGCTCTTGTTACCCAGGCTGGAGTGCAATGGCGCGATCTCGGCTCACCGCAACTTCTGTCTCCTGGGTTCAGGCAATTCTCCTGCCTCAGCCTCCTGAGTAGCTGGGATTACAGGCACACACCACCATGCCCAGCTAATGTTTTGTAGTTTTAGTAGAGATGGGGTTTCACCATGTTGACCAGGATGGTCTCGATCTCTTGACCTCGTGATCCACCCGCCTCGGCCTCCCAAAGTGCTGGGATTACAGGCTTGAGCCACCGCACCCGGCCCCCAGGACCCTTTTAAACCAAAAATAACACTTCTGCTTACCATTGCTAAGTGCTGGACACTGTGGTCAATACTTTATGTGCATTATCTCCTCTAATCCTCATTTTACAGCTGAGGAGACTGAAGCTCCAAGAAGTCAAACAACTTAGTCAAATTTCAACTAATATGTTGTAAATATAGAAGTAAAAAAGGGTGCCCAAAGTCTAAAACCCATATTCTCAAGATCTGAGCTCTTAGTCTCCCCTAGACACTGCTGTCTTAAAATTTCAACCCCTTGGACAGGCACAGTGGCTCACTCCTGTAATCCCAGCACTTTGGGAGGCCGAGGCGGGTGGATCACCTGGCCTGAGGTCAGGAGTTCGAGACCAGCCTGGCCAACATGGCAAAACCCCATCTCTACTAAAAATGCAAATATATAAATATCAGCTGGTTGTGGTGACACGTCTGTTATCCCAGCTACTTGGAAGACTGAGGCAGGAGAATTGCTTGAACCCGAGAGGCGGAGATTGCAGTGATCCGAGATTATGCCACTGCATTCCAGCCTGGGTGACAGAGTGAGACTCCTTAAAAAAAAAAAAAAAAAAAACAACCCCTACCTTTAATGAATCATGTAAGAAATGTTTTGGTGACTATACAGTAACAAGCTACAATTTATCTGTTTTTTGTAAAGAAAGTATTAAATGCAAAAATGATTGTACTAATTTTTTTTTTGAGATGGAGTTTCGTTCTTGTTCCCCAGGCTGGAATGCAATGGTGTGATCTTGGCTCACTGCAACCTCCACCTCCCGGGTTCAAATGATTCTCCTGCCTTAACCTCCCGATGAGCTGGGATTACAGGTATGAGACACCATGCTTGGCTAATTTTGTATTTTTAGTAGAGACAGGGTTTTTCCATGTTGGTCAGGCTGGTCTCGAACTCCCAAACTCAGGTAATCCGCCCACTTTGGCATCCTTTTTTTTTTTTTTTTTT